AAGACCTGGCCATCTGTTCTCATCAAGTTTACAATCTAGGAAACTCTGTGACATAGTTCTATTCTATCCTCTAGATCATGTAGGATTGGAATAAACCTGACAGTCCACATGACTACTGTAGCTGTTATTTCTACCATATGGTGTCCAAAATACACATTCTAATTTTTAAAAGAAATATTTTTTTTATTTTGAATGTATTTTTCCTAGGTGATTACCAAGGTTTAAAATGGCAAAGGGAGACACATACTAAGGAACATTCTTGAGAAAAACTGTAGCGGAATGAATTTTAAAAGTCATATAAAGTCCTTTTATGAAGAAATTACAAATGTTATTGAAAGAAAAATGTCAAAGATCAAATGTGACTTAAGCAGAAGAAGCAGTTTGTTAGATTTGGTTAAGAGGAAAATTAAGACTAGAAAATGCCACAAAGAATGGAGATTGGTTATAATGCATGTCAGGTAATAGCAGGGTGATGACAAGCACCACCAGACAACACAGGATACGGAGAAATAATGATCACCACTGGAAAAAAACACAATAATTTACCCATTAGTTAACTCTTGTAAGACGAGTAACAAATGCCAATTGTTTATACACATTTCCTAGTAAGAAAATACTCAACTTAGCATCTTTTAACTGTGTAATACTCTAATAATGTCACAGTAGTATAAAAAACTTTTTCTGCAACAGGAACTGCATACTAAGGGGGGTTGCGGTGGCGGTGGCTCTATGTTTTTATACAGAAAAGGAGGCCAACTCTTATTGTCCTCATTTGCAGATGAAGATAAAAAAAAAAAGAGAGGCGAAGGGATTTGCTACTGATGACAGTACTGTCGCTTTTTTTTTTTTTTTAAGTGCTGTCAAGTCAGTTCCAACTCAAAACCTGTATAGGGTTCAAACCCAAACCTGTATAGGTTTCCCAGGAGAAGCTGGTGAGTTTGAATGACTGACTTGTGGTTCAAACCGACCGTGCGGTCCAGAGCTGTATCCTACCGTGTGGTAGTCTAAAACCAAGGCTGGAATTCTGACCTCTGAATGCTTACTCAACTTCATTGCCATATAAACAGCTACTCTGATACCATCTTACACTTAGCCATTCAGTCTCACAATGATGTTTTATGAGATACACTGTCACTGACTGCCACTGGAGTTATGGAGTCTGCATATTCTAGATGTGGTAACTTAATTAAAGTTTGCCCATCAATAACTGAATAGTTATTTTTTACTCCTATAGTTTACAGAAAAACAGGGCTTCAGAAATTGATGGACTACAAACTGAAATATTTCAACAAACTAATGTGGCACTGGAGGCAGTCACTCATGTATGCCAAGAAATTTGGAAGACAACTACCTGGCCAACTGAAAGAGGTCCATATTTGTGCCCATTCCAAAGAGAGGTGACCAAAGTGGAATATGGAAATCATTGAGCAGTATCACAATATAACATGTAAGTAAAGTTCTGCTGAAGATAATTAAGAAATGGCTGTAAGAGTGCATTGACAGGGAACTGCCAGAAACTCAAGTCAGATTAAAAAATGGACACGGAACTAGAGATACCATTGCTGATGTCAGATGGATCTTGGGTAATAGTAGAGACTATCAGAAAGATGTTTACCTGTACTTTATTGATTATGCAAAGGCTTTCGACTGTGTGGATCATGACAGTCTATGGATAACACTGTGAAAAACAGGTATTCGAGAACACTTAATTGTGCTCATGAGGAACCTGTACACAGACCAACACGCAGTATTTTACACAAAACAAGGGGATACCGAATGGTTTAAAATCAAGAAAGGTATGCAATAGGGTAGTGTACTTTCACCATACTTATTTAGTCTGTATGCAGAGCAGCAAATAATCTGAGAAGCTGGATTATATGAAGAACGGGGTATCGGAAGACTCGTTAACAACCTTGATACTCAGATGACACAGTTTTGCTCGCTGGAAGTGAAGTCTTGAAATACTTACTGAAGATGAAATACTACAGCCTTCAGTACGGATCGCAATTCAACGCAAACAAAACAAATCTCCTCAGCACTGGACCAATAAATAACATCATGATAAATGGAGAAAAGACTGAAGTTGTTAAAGACCTCATTTTGCTTGGATCCACCATCAACACTAAGGAAACACTAGTCAAGATCCTCCTGTATAGAATTTCTTAGGCTATAAACCTTTACAGGAACAAAAAGCCCCATCGGTCTCCTGTGGAGTGCCTGGGTGAATTTGAACCGCTGATCCTGTGGTTAACAGCTGAAAGCATAACCAACTACTCCACCAGGGCTCCTTCAGATACTGGGCGAGTTTGGTTCAATTTAGGTCTTTAGAGCAAGGAAACGAAAATAAATTATTAATGAATAGCAAACTCTAATGTATCTTTCCTTCCTATCTAGGTTCACCTAGCATCATTGCTGCCAATTTGGGGCAAGGAGGACAAATAGAAATGTGGAAACAGTTACGGTAAGAGAAAGAGAAAGCTAAGTGGGAGGGCAGAATTATGTTATATAAATAAAAAAACCAGGTTCTAAATCAGTTTAAAAGTGTCCAGCAATTGTAGCTGTTGTAAACAAGTGAAGAACATGCATCGCATAGCAATCAAAATCTACTGTCCATGGTGTTATTTTGACCTGAAAACCCAAAACCAAACCCACTGCCACTGAACCCATTATGACTCTGGATAGGAGGGGTGGGGGTGGGGGTGCTGACATGACGGGAATCCGTGCCAACTCAGAGCTGCCCTGCATAGCAGGGGTGGGGAACATTTTTTTCTGTCAAACTTTCTAACGTCATTTGCAGGCCACACAAAACTATCAAATTAAAAATTAGCCTGCTATGTTTGGTCAAACATTTAATTAACTCACCCCCTAATAATGTAATGGCTGGAGTCCTGGTGTGGTGCTGTGGGTTAATGCGCCAGACTGCAAAAGCTATGTCAACTGCAAGGTCAGGGCAGTTAGTTCAGGCTCACCAGCCGCTCCTCAGAAACTCTATACAGGGTCGCTATGGGTCAGAACCTACTCGATGGCACTTAACAACAACAACAACACTGTGATGGCTGGACCTTGGCAGGCCCAGATCAAATGATTTCAAGGGCCTTATATGGCCCATGGGCCGGATTTCCCCCACCCCTGCTTTATAGAGAGGATTTCTGAGGCTGTAAATCTTTGCAGGAGCAGAAA